GGACAACAGAGCTGCTTCATGGAAGAAGAACCTCAGCTTAGCCTGTTAGCCTTTGTGCTAGCACTGACGCTAGCTCAACAAACAAGCTAAACTGAGGTCCTCCATCCATATTTTCAGTTACAGGCTGAGTCATTTCTACCTTCTCCTCTCTGTCAACGCTCTCTGGTTTCATTTATAAGAGGCAAACATCAGATGTTGTCCAAGATTAACCTTCAGGGTGGATATAGCTTGCTAGCCTCGCACCGATGACCTACCCATGTCGTCATTTACCCAGAATGCTTTGCGTGTAAATAAAATGGCCCCATCCGTGTACTATATTTTTAAACTTTTAGTTAAATATTATAAAAACTAAAACATCCTACAGTATTTTTACAGTCTTTATTTTACAGTTAAAATATATGTTTATTAAATAAAGTCTAATGTTACGACTAATCGGGGATCCCTTTAAAAACTACCAGAGTAATCTCAAAAACAGTTTTGTTTCAGGAGCTGCTTGGGTACTTTTATCTCATTTTAGTGTTTTCTCAAGAGGAGTTCTGGTATATTTATTTTAAAAAATATGGAATGGAGATTCTTGCACAGATTCTTTTTTAACAAAACTGACAGATTTCTTCCTTAAATAATTGTTTAATTTAAATGGATTATATTTACAAGATTTAAGCTCATGTAGTCATTTAATACTATTTGTTTTTCATTATTACTGAATTGCATTTATCACAGCTCAGAGCTGCGGGTGGAGATGAGGACCACCTGCCTCTTAGAGTCTGCTTTGTAAATGGTGGAAATACTGCGAGGAGCCTTCAGAAATATAATAAATCTAATCCTCAGTGGAAAATAGTCCGGGAAACTCCCGTCAGCGAGCATCTGTCCTGAAGGCTTGGTTATAGTCATGCTTTGGGAGCTCACGCAGGACGTGTGCGCACCGTCGCCAGAGGTGGAGGTGCTTATGTTGTTATAGTTTCCTCCAAAAGAACATGCAGCAGTACACTTTATAACTTATGAAATGTTGTAAATGGGAGATCAAACCCTTGAGGAACAAACTGTTTGGATGGGGCTCTGCGTGGGCAGCTTTGGAGTGATTCGAGGCTGCACGCACCTACTGTCAGTGAGACAGCACGACCCACCCTGCTCTGATCGGGTAAAACTTGAACTGTGGCTCTTTCTATTGGTTGAAAGAACCATCAGTTTAAAATCTAGAAGTTTTTTTCTTTCAATTTTTACAAATGACATTGTTGTGGAGGAAAACTTTACAACCAGGAGGCGGGGTCTGGTTATGTCCACCCCTAACCTCTGATCAAGCACATTATGTCCCCCCAAGCACCCCCCCCCAGGTTGGGACACTGCTCTAAAATAAACAGTCTGTTTTGTGTTAATATACATAATTAGATAACATTCACTGTCAGGGTGTCTTTCACTTCTCACACTTAATATTACTGGTGTTCAGGGTCATACATACAACCTCTAAGAAACATGTTCCTGAAGTAACGATGAGACATTAGCATGTTTCAGTGAAGCAGGTGGTCTGTCATAATTATATAGCTGTCAGTGTTCACACGTAAAACCCTAAAACTAAAGTTCCATCTGAATCTGTGCACAGAAACCAAATAAAAAACTAAATTATAGAAGCTGAAAATTATCACAGAAAAATTGCTGCAAGGATGGATGGATAGATGACATCACCTGTAATGGTTGTGTTCAGGTAAATCTGACCTGTGTGATGCAGGCTCCGGCGAAAGCCACGGTGACAGCAACCACATTAACCGTCAGCTGGAACTGCAAGAACTTGGAGATGCTGTCATACACGTTCCTGCCCCACATCACGGCCTTGACGATGCTGGTGAAGTTATCGTCTGTCAGGATGATGTCAGACGCCTCCTTTGCTACATCCGTCCCTGCGATGCCCTGGTGATCACAAGCGTGCAGCTGAGATTTATCAACCAGACTTTATTCTTTATGTGTCATTTATTCTTCTACAGAGGATGTTTGAGGAAATCTGTGACAGAGGCTACCATAGCAAAGCCAACGTCAGCTTTCTTCAGGGCAGGACCATCATTTGTTCCGTCTCCAGTCACAGCAACAACCTGCCTCTGCTCCAGGACCATGCTGTCGATGATACCTGATAGTACAAGGGAAAGACTCACAGGTGAGACCACTCAGAAAACTATAAAACATTTTAGTTTAAAGAACTAGAAACACGACTACGTTCTTTTGATCAAACCTTCTAATCTCATGTTAAATTGTCAGATCTTTTAACTGTGTTAGAATTTACAGTGTGTTGAGCATAATTCTTTTACTACCACACCAGGTTTTAGCCAATGATTACTGTCTGAGAATTTATTTAAAATCTGTCCATTGGTTCAGGACAGAATTTGTTAACACATCAAATAAACACACTGACTGAATGTCTCACCTTTAACCAAGGTGTGTTTGTCTGTTGGAGATGATCGAGCCAGAACTCTCAGTTTGGGCCAAATCTGATCGATGCGTTCCTGTTCAATCTGATAAGAGTTAAAGGATTTTAAAATATATATTTCAGTGCCTGGTGAAAATATTCACAACATATGAACTTTTCCATAATTTGTCCCACAACAAACACAAAGTATTTTACTGTGATTTTATGTGATTGGACAACACAAAGCAGGAGATAGTTGTGAGTTGGAAGAGAAACAATATAATGATTTTCTAGGGTTTCACAACTAAAAATCTGAACGAGGCAAACATTTGCCCCCTGAAAACAAACACACGCCACACTTTAAATTTGCACTTCACAAAGTGGAGAATCCTGAACAGGCAGCAGCTAAGTGTTTAAGTTTGAGCTGCCTCCGTTTGTCTGACCTCGCCCATCTCGTTGCGGATCCGTTGGTTGAACTCTTTGCCCTCCAAACACAAGAAGTCATCTCCAGGTTGCAAAATGCAACATTTGCTGGCGATGGCTCTGGCAGTGTTGATGTTGTCTCCTGTCACCATGCGGACAGTGATCCCGGCCCGCTGGCACTTCCTGATGGCTTCTGGTACCTGACATGGACAACAAAAGAAAGATCAGCAGAGAGTGAAACCTGAAACTCCATCCACCAAAAACCTCTAAAACTGCTGGAATTTTTGTGTCTTTTGTGGTTGTGACGTACCTCAGGTCTTACAGGGTCCTCAATGCCAACAACAGCAATGCATGTAAGTCCAGTAAGGATCTCCGTTTCATTGTCCCAGCTGGGCTCTCCCTCAGTTGTGGGAAATTCTCTGTAGGCGAGGCAGATGGTCCGTAGTCCCTCTGATGCCATCGGCTCGATCACTTTCTTCACCATTTCCTCCCGATCTTTAGATTTTAGAACCTTGCACTCACCGCTCGCAGTCAGGATCTTGCAGCACCTGAAAGGGGACAACAGTCCTGTAATCCTGGTCTGACAGGGTACAAGGGGAGGGGGAATTGAGTGGAAACAGTTAACCTACTTCTTAAGCAGGATCTCAGAGGCTCCTTTACTGAACATGCGGTAGCTTCCATCATTGTTTCTCAGCACGGTGCTCATGGACTTCCTCGCAGAGTTAAAGGTGTAAACTTTGAAAATACTCTCCTCTGGGATTTGGTTTCGGATGGCCTGGTAGTCTCTGTGCAGGTCAAGGCTGAGTCCTAGTAAGGCACATTCTGTCTTGTTTCCCACCTGGCGGGGCAGACCCCCCTCTTTCTCTGGTGGCTGCAAATGAGTTTTAAGGACATATAATTTCAAAACATAGAAATGAAAAGGCCATGTCTTTGAAAGATTCCTCTAACTGCCATTAGGTACCAGTATGAGATGCTCAGACCCATTGTGACACCATGTGCTGGTGCAATACATCCTCACTCCCAAATTGTCACACATTGACGCTTGTCCAAGGTTACCTATGCGTCCAGTTTTAATGCATCCGGTAACTCCCTCGTGTCAGTTATTGATGCACGGGGCTTTTCTGGGTTCGCGCCACATAGTCTTTGGGTTGTGGTCCACGGTTAATATTAGGGATCAGGATTACTGGTTAATTTTAGGTAGTAAAGTCAGGGATAGGATGCATAGGGATAATAAAAGTTAAGTTTAAGGTTTGGGACCATTACTTGTGCATTTTCTACACTTTTCAATAATTTGACAACGGCCCTCACCTCCTTGTTCTCATCTTGTCATATAACTGACATATGAAGGACACGTTTCAAACACTTTGTTGATAATGGGATGGAACAGCCTGAGCAGAGCTCCTGAATAGACCTCCCTCTCTCTGAAGTGCTATGAAATGAGTCGTAAAACGTAACTAGTCCCGAGTCTGCCTTTAGCTGTACTCTGAGGGGAGAACATCTATAGGCAGATGTCCGATAGAGATCTTTTCCAGATGCCTAAACCACCTAAGCTAACTCCTCTTCATGTTGAAGAGCAGAAATCCTACTCGGAGGCCCCCTCCAAAACAGCCAAGTCCGTCTAGTTTTAAAACATTTAGGAGGAACCTCATCTCAGCTTGGAGTTTGACTGTTCTCATTGGGTTCCTGAATTATGGCAGTGCCACAAGGATCAGTCTTTGGAGCCCTGTTGTTCAGAACGGTCTTTTGCTGGTGAACGATGATGTTAAAATCTTTATATACGCAGATTACATTGATGTATATTTACACAAGAGAAATCTGATGAACAAGGTGCTGCTAGGTTTTCACGTACATACAGTATAACTGACACTGTTTCGGTTTGGCTCATTTCTCTCACACTGAATGTTAAGACACTCAGTGACTTTTACAGGCAAATATAACCAAATAATTGTGAAAATGAGGTATTAAATATATGGTTTAAAGGGTAGAGTTTTTAATGGTTTTGCTTTGTATCTGTATTTAAATTTAATTTCTTTAACTAGAGAGTACTGAATCTCAAAAAGGAATCAGACTAAATGATTTCTAGTGCTGACCTAAACAGAAATGAGCAAAAGAGAACACTTGTAAGTGCTTGCTTAGTGGAACTGGTTTATCTGCTTTCCATTATGCTCTACAAAGTAAAACCAGTGGACAATGATCAGATGAGCGAACGTGGCTGTGGTCCAGAACCAGCCTGTTGAACACTTAAACCCACACAACTTCCTGAAACTAACATCTTGTTTTGAAGCTCACCATAATCTTGGTGGTGTAGGCACAGTTGACCCCAATGCCAAGGATGAGAAGGTCTAGGATCTTTGTTGGGATGAGGTCCGGCTCTGGCACCTTGTTGTAGTGTCGTCCAGCGACGTAGACCTGCACCACCGTCATCCGATTCATGGTCAGTGTGCCGGTCTTGTCAGAGCAAATGGCTGTGGCGTTGCCCATCGTTTCACAGGCGTCCAGGTGGCGAACCAGGTTGTTGTCCTTCATCATTTTCTGACAAAGAAAGTCTGGGTATTCTACACTGAATGTCAAACAAATTAAGAAATATTCCACTGATCCACTTCCAGCTAAAGAGACTGGTGATGGATCTTTTCAAGTTAAAATCTCAGATTACAATTTAAACTGTTGGAAAAAGATAAAATCACAAGTTGTGTAATTCTTCTTGTCGAACAGAGCATGTAAGGTTATAGACCTTGACTGAGTATGCGAGTGAGATGGTGACGGCCAGAGGGAGACCTTCAGGCACAGCCACCACCAGCACCGTCACACCGATGATGAAGAACTTGACCAGGAACTGCACGTAGATAGATGCACACTCAGCGGTCCAAGGCAGCCCCTGAATCGAGAAGGTATCGATCAGAAAGCGAGTGATGAGAATGATGACCGTGAGTGTCGACATGAACAGGCCTGGAAACAGATACAGATGAAATATGTTGGTTGGATTCCCCTTCAGTCAGAACATGGTTCTACAGCTGGTGTTGGACCTAAAGGCAGCTGTTCTTTAAAAACGTAACACCTCTCAGCCAAAAGGCTTCTTCTGTTTTGAGGGTTTTAGGGTTTATAAACCATTGTTGGCACATTTACATTGAAAAGGATCGTCAGAATCACACGGGACACTGACCCACCAGCCTGACCCTATGAGAACCTCCTAGTTGGGAGTTTTAGTGTTGCTGCAATCTAATAACATCTGAACTGCAGCACACATCATAAAAACATGAAAAAATGAAGGCAGTTGACAGCTAATAAACAGTAGAGTACTTAAAACAAAGTGGCACAGCTGTCTGAGCGCCCATGAACTTCTGACTTCTGAACACAACACTTTAACTACTTAAATATTTTATGTTAAGGGGGGTGAAACATTCATCCCAGGCCTTTTGTTGAGAAGTGGCAGGAAACAAGGCAGACAACAAAATGACAATTTTCGTCAAGCAAGTACAGTACGTCAATGAAAGCAGACTTCACAGGTTTGGATGGACCATGCAGAGACCTTCAGAAGGTGGGGAGCAGTGAGAGAAAACAGCAGGTGTGAATGATGACTGAGAAACAGAATGGCTGATGATTCAAGAAAACAAACTTAAACACAAGGAATCTCAGAATAACACAAGGAAACACAAAAACTACAAAGAACGAAAGCAAAGCTACAAAACAAAAAGTATCCGAGATCAAGACCCTGCAGAGCCCCTGCTCAATCACTTCATTTAAATACAACATGAAATGTGCCATCAGATCTCCAGGCTCACTAATCTCTACATGGAGGATGTAAGAGCTCAAAGCTCAGAGTCAGTGATTAAAAAACAGATCTAAGCCTGAGCTTTCTCTGAACACATCATCTCAATTAAAAGCATCAGTTTTACTTCAGAGGTGCAGCCTTTCCAGGACTGTTCAATGCACCTGGAGGGAGATGGAGGCATCAACAGGGAAGATTATCTGCACACAGACCAGTCTTTGAATCCCACCACAAGAATAAAGCACTCAAATATGTGCAGTGTGCTGTGAGCAGACCACTGAAACAAGAAGTGCTAGACCTTTAGCTGCTGCTCAGGGAGGTTTAGACATTCATATCTTGAAACATTTGACCAAAACTCTTCACATGTTGATGGTCTCAGTAAACACACAGGATAAACAGAGAACCCTGAAGAGGAACTCTCCTTGATAAAACTTATAAAACTGAACTATCGACATAGAATCAGAGCTGAAGCTATTCTCTGCTCAGCTCATTTTCTGACTCCAGTTTAGATTCTTTGAAGGGCAAGTGGGAGATGGACTTGGAGGAATCCATATCAGACACAGTTTGGCAAAAAATTATTCAAAATATATATTCGTCCTCAATATGTGTGAAACATGTTATAGTTCAATTCAAGGTAGTACATCGTCTACACTGGTCTGAGGACAGATTGTACAAATTTAAAAAGGGACTTGGATCCGACGTGTGATCGTAGTAAACAATCTCCTGCCACACTTCTGCACACATTCTGGTCCTGTCCAAAGCT